TTATAATATTGCGGTCTATCACATTATTCAAAAAAGAATTGGCAATAGAGAGTTCCTACATATATTTTTATGGTTAAATTAATTTTTGACTCCCAGTGCTGAATATCTTGGTTAAATCTATGAGTTCAGATGTTGTTCGTCGTATTGAAAAAACATTTTCCAATTGTAAGCTGTTATTATATTTACTTGATTTATGCACTGAGATCCACAGTTCAGAATTTATCTTGACTGATTCAGATTTATAGGCACGAATCATACTAGCAAATTACGGCAAATAAATCATTTGAGTACAGAGATATATTGGAACAAATAGAGATTAGTACAAGGAGATTTGTTGATTATCAATCACTGTTTAATCTATAGTAATAATAATTAAAACGTCACTTAAATATTCATTATAAACTCATTAAGTTTCTTCGTGTGACTATTTCAAAAGACAATAAATGAACAAACATTTACTTTGTTTCCTCATCATACCACTCTTTACGTATCCTGTTGTCGATACCATTATCCGTTTAGGATTTGTTGGGCAGGTTAAAAATCTACATTCTTGAGTTTTCATGATGTCAACTGGCTCAAACCCTCCCTGCCCTTAGGCTACACTTTCACCGATCCTATCCTCGTTTATCCAGATTTTTCTGTTTAACATACTTTACCACATTTCAGTCTCGATCTCCTCCACGTCAAAACTATGTCAAAACTTTGTATAAATGTGTGTAATGTTTTCTGGCCAATAGTCTTCATTAAGTTCAGAAAAGCCAACTGATTTCTTCAAGCCTACTGTTTAGCCATAACCTATCTAGATAACACGATGTTCAATGTAATCTTTTTATTATTTTTTTTTATAAATTATAAGTAGTTTAGCTCACTTTAGAATACGGTGTTAAAGTAGCAATGATCGGAAAGATTATCTGTAATTATATTCAAATTAAAACAATCTTTGAAAAGTATCAAATTATTCCTTCAAATGAAACCATCAACAACATACTTTTATCTTTATAATAATTTATACACTGTTGTTGAAACTGTCAATTAAACAAATAACAGTGTTTAGTTACTCACATTCGTTGAATTCAACAAATATTTCTTATAGTTACCTTGATCTCTGAAGACTATTTAGTCAATAACTAGAACTATTTTATATTCTACCAGTATCTATGTCTAAAGATATTTTCAGTACTGGTATTTGTTAAAATGATTGATTAATAGGAGTATATATAAGTAAGTAGAAAAACAAAACCGAGATGTGTATTATGAGATTAACAAAAAAAAAAAACTATCCATTGCCAGATACTGTCATTATCCTTTAACTCATAACGGAGAATGTCTGTGGTCCTAGCACTCAAAGGCGTTGGGACTATTCTACCTATCAGACATGATCCAAACGTAAACGTCAAACTAGTTAGCTGTTTCAGAAGATTAAACTATGGGCTAGTAGTTGAGTGCTTTGACCAATAACGTCTCAACTTGTACTGCTTTTCATTGCATGCAGACAGTTGTGAGAAGGCAGTCACCCTAATATTTGGTTGTAAAATGCAGGTGTTAATATAACCTTGTAGTAGAAAGGAACCACCATATATTTCTATATATATATATATATAATCCTAACCTTTACCCTTTGACATTATTACAAAATGATGGTATCTGTAACTGTAGAATTTAATATTAAAGAATGCATAAAAAATATTAAAGAATTACCACCTGTACATCTATAACTACAAGAGGAGCCGTTGGCCGAAAAGGAGTGTTAAAGTTGCGAAAGCATCATCAACCAATCAAAATTAAATAAGAAGATACGATATTTCGAACCTGGTGGTGCATTGAATGTTTACGTATACGCGTGAAGTATTTTGTGTATATTAAGAAAGAATTCATGCGTTGCGGAGATAATCCTTGAATAATATATGGTATTTCAGCTTCATCGTAACGTAAACAACAAAAGTTACTTTCATAATATCATGTTTTTCAAATACCATGAACACAATGATTTTTTTTCCATTTAGAGTAAAGCGTTTTAAATATATTTTGTTTCCAGTGAACTAAAAATCACCATTTATAAAAAACTTTTCTCGACTCTAACGTTCGATTTGTCTCCCAGTGCCACAATGGACTTACAACGCTACAAACCAGGTTCCGATACCTGTGGTGGGCAGAGGAAAGATAGCCCATTGTGTAGCTTTGTGCTTAACTTCAAACAAACATTCATTCGAATTTTAGATGATCTATATAGATATCATTTTAAATATACATATAACGGCAGAGTATTTTGAGATATTTATTGACGTTGAAAGTCAACAGTCACGAATATTTTCACGTCATTTCCTTATCCTTCTTTGTTCACCTTTGGCTGTCTTTCTAGCAAACTGTTTGATTCAATGGAGATAATAAGATTTTAATAGGTTACATATTTAATGTAAGAAGTTAGTCGTAAATTAGAATGCTTCTCTGCTTGCCAGCTCCGAAATCCAGAACTCTACCACACAGGCACGCTCAGTTCTACAGAATACGAGTATCTCGAAAACAAGATAAGACATCGATCTTTTTAAAACTTACTTATAATTATAGATGTATATTATTTTCCTACTTTCATATACATTTACTTTGAACTACTGTTGTGCTCAGTAGTACTTTTAAACTGTAATTTACTGTTAAACCCCTGAATATAGATGGCCGAAAGAAAAAAAATATATATATATATATGTACAAGCCACTATCTGTTCATAACGCTCTTTTTAGTGGTAACGCTCGACTCTCTGTCGGTAACGTACATATTTATTCAGCGGATTGTCTAAAGCTGAAGTCTAGAATTCAAATCCCAGTCGAGTGGAAATTTTTATAATTTTTCAAATTATTATCTCACCACGTTTAGAGAAAGATATTACAATACTAGGAAAAAAACAAAATAACGTGATGCTTTACATTAGGGATTTAAACTATTTTTTCACATTTGATTACAAAAACTGGGAGTCATAGTGGTTATAGTGCTGGCTATCATGTAAAAATCTTGAGTTTAAATCCCAGTTGGGTGGTCTTTTTATATTATTTTTTGTATTTCTATAATTTGAAATATATATATTTTTATATTTACAGCAAGCTCTTTGAATATATGGAAAAATACAAATACAATTATAGATTAAGTGATGGATAATAGCATATTACATAATAAGCGAAAGTGACTGATGTGTCACAAATAACTTAAATATGTTTTTACCACGACAGGTGACATCCCAATACACTATAATTGAATTTTTTTTAACTTTGGGAATTTTTTTTTAAATCTCCTTTGTCATCATAATTAACAAATTGCAGGGTCAGACATTTGACCATGTAGGAATATTTCTTCGAGGACCAACTTTTTCGCATGGTTTAACTTATGAGGTTTTATCAAGAAGAATATTTGAACATAACATAAAAATATACACAAGTCAAAATTATAATACAGGAGATGACCAAATGTATACAAAAATATTGAATTAGTGAAATACTAGAAAATGTTAGAGATTCTCCACACATAAATTATTACTACAATATAATCAATTTTTAGAAAATATGTTAATTTATCATCATATGACGGGTACTCAGCCAGTACTCTATAACACGAAATCTAAGATGTCGAATACCAGTTCTTCATGTCTACAGCTTTGTTACACTAGATACTGTAAGATATACATATCTTCCTTAAGTTGTTTAATAACGTTTTTTTCTACTAAAATGTTTAGAATTCGAATATATTATGCTTGTAATGTTAAATTCTGACAACCGTTGCCTATAACGTACTCACGTGAATTTTAAATGGGGGGGGGGGTCCAACACCCTATATGACCTTCCTTATCTTATCCTGTATCACTGTATCAAGTTTGGTGCTGATTGATCAAGAAATGTAGAAACATAAAAAGAACTGGTATACACACATACTGACGTTTATTTATATAGATAGCATATTCATAAGGTTACAAGTAGCTCCAACAAAATCACCAGTAGAGACTACAGGAAAAAATATAAGTAGAGTAATAACTAATCATCACGAACCTCCGACGATTATGTTACGATAACAGAGAGAACCGTATTCGTTTTCAACCACTGATCAAAATACAATGCTATAGGTTGAAAACACAATTAAAGCAAATTTAGTTGATCCTAGCTTCGGCATTGTTTTAGCTGATCGATACACAATGGACTATTTTCGTTTGGATTAAACCAATTTAAGCCTAAGGGAAGGGAGGGTTGGACCAGTTTTTCAGTGAAAGTGCTCAATAACATAGCCACTTTTTAACCATCCAACGAAATCATAAACAAAACAATTTATCCTTTCACCACTCCCATCCTCGTTCATCCTTAATTGCTTATTCTTGCAGCATGTCAGCCTCGATTCTCGACTACCAAAACTAGGCCAAAACTGGGTATATAAGATGTTTTCTGATCAAACCTCTCTACCAAGTGTATCAACGGTCAGCAAATTTGTTCGAGTCTTCTTGTAACCACAGTCCATCTAGACAACACGATGCTGAAGGTATAATATTTTCTAAAAGTTTTTGTGTACAGTTTTAATGGAATCAATGGTTATAAATGATTTTTCTAGTAGTTAATAATGGCTGGAGACGGCTTGAATGGGTAATGAAGAAACACTTTAATATAAGTTTAACATAACAGCAAATGTACAGCCATTATTAGTCTCAAAGTGGGTTCCTCGTCATCGAATTTTCTAGTAGTTGTTCCTTAATTTAAGTGCTATCTTAAAAAAGAAGGTTCCATGCATTACTGAGATAAGCTTTCAATGAAGTAGTGTTATTTTATGTTCATAATAATATATGCAGTAAAAACTGAAACTCTCAAGTATTCACAAATACATTCTTTATAAATTAATGACCTTATACCCGAAACTAATATAAACTTTCACTGTAAAACGTAATTAAAACTGTTAGGTATTTTATTGAAAAGCAGAAATATAGAAAACGATATAATACGGCGTTATCTTCTGATTGCAGGTTCTTGTTCTATGTATGCTGGCTACAGCTGCCTATGCTGGTTATCCTTTTTACGCTGCCCCAGCTGTGAAGGTTGTTCATGCTCCGGTTTATCAACCTGCGCCTGTTGTAAGTTCGTCTGCTATATTTATCATAATTTCGATTTAAAATTCTTTTAGAAAAAGACTCAAAAATTTGTGTTCTATAAAAATCCAATTTTTAATGACACATTTAATCTCACATCAGTTTACAAATCCAAAATATGATCAGCAGAGAATTAAAGTTTGTAGCATCGTCACATTTCACCAACCCAGATGAAAACTAATGTTTTCATTTCATAATTTACCCTATCGAGGTATAAAGAAAAGTTCAGTTCTAAACCTAGCTGTAAAGACGAATGAAGTGTGTATATTTCAATAAACAGCCAGTTTTACCTTTCTAAATACATGAATTACTTATCCAATTCTCATTTTGATCATCATATTTGGAAACCAAAGAACTGCTTTTAAAGTCAGACTTGTTTTTTGCATAAAAAATAACTATCCCTTCGTCGTAAAATACTGTGCATTATTATATCGAATTATAAATCATTATTTTTTATTTTCTGCAAATCCGGCTTTGTTTCTCATGTCTCAAATAGTTTGAAGGTATCGAAAGAAACTTAAAACATGAACATTAAAGGATTTTGTTTCATCTTATGCAATAACGAATACGATATTAAGCTGTAACACAAATTTTCTCTGCAACCAGGAAAAGCCCCAGCCTTTCGACTTCAGCTACGACACCAAGGACGAAGATGGTAATACCCACGCTCGCCAGGAGTCTGGAGATGGAAGTGGCGCCGTCAGTGGCAGCTATTCTTACACAGATGCAAACGGTCTCTTCCGACGAGTATCTTACACCTCTGATGCCAGTGGATTCAAGCCATCCATTGAAACCAATGAACCAGGAACTGCTAATGCCAACCCTGCTGATGTCCAGGTGTCAGTTCAGGAAGCCCCTGCAATTAAGGTCAAGGCTGCCCCTGTTCACAAAGTCATCAAACTCGTAC